GAAGAGTTAGAAATCCAGTGTAAGGAAGAACTTTAGAACAATTAGAGCTGTTCAAAAATAGAATAACCCACTTTTTTAGGTAATGAACTCCCTCTTATTGATAGTGTCAGACAGAGATAGAAGGGACGTATATCAGGGATACTTTCAGTAAAATTTCTAAACTGGTTAGGGTTTGTGAAAAAGTGATTTCTAAGGTTTTGCTTTGTTTTTTTTTTTCCTCTGAAAAAGCCCTATTGAAGTAGGTCACCAAAAATATTTTTAGAAGGGAGAAAACACTACCTTGGAGATCGAAAACCTTAAATCTCTGTCAGACTAAAGAGGCACAAGGACTTTGTAGCCAAACAAGCATTTTGAGAAATCTCAGCCCTGTCAATGAAAGAAAATTTCTCTAGAACCCCATTTAATTAGAATATTAGGATCAGGCGATTTTTTTCTCTGAGAATAATGGAGATGTACTCCCTCTTCTTGTCCTTTCGTAGTACTCCAGAATGTTTGTCCAAAGAATAGCTGTTTACAAAAATTAGCATATTGCTTTTTTGTCCCTTGTAAATTAGCATCCCTAAGTGGCTAAAAGATTTTTCCAGGCTTCCAAGGGCCTCTATAGAATTCATCAGAGTAACTCAAGCTGAATACATTTTTTTGCTTACACGAATTTGTTGCTAAGCAGAAAATTTGGTACATCTAGTTATGTAATGCCACTTATCCTTCTCCCTAGGAAACGCCCCAATTTTCACCATGTTAGAGAGCCCCAAACTCAGCCAAAGCATGCTTTGTGCTTCTTCCTGGATACTGGGCAACAGGGTAGTCTATGGGATGAAAAAAAAAGGGGGGTTCATTACCTCTGTCATAAGAACATTGAACTTAAATAAAAGTCCTCTAAAAATAAGTAGTTTCTATCACGAAGTATTTAATGGTGCCAGTTTTAAATGTCTTATTCTAAAGAACATGTAGTATATTTTCTACTGATAAAACTTATGTTCAAAAAAAAAAAAAGAAGGTA